ACTATTTAATTTAATAGTTAAATTTTTTTTAAATTTATAAAAACTTTCTATATATTATTTAATATTAAGTTTTTAATATCTTTTGTTAATATATATAATTAAATATAATTAAAAATTAAAGTTGATTAATTTTCAAAGTTGATTAATTTTAATTTATATTATTAATAATTATTTTATAATATTTTTTCTCTAATAAAAATATAATAAATAATAATTAATATAATTAATCTACTAAAAAGTTAATAAATTTTTATTTTACTTTTTTTTTACTTTTAATATAACTGTTTGAAATCAAATATTTTTTTAAATAAAAAGATAATATTACAGTATAGCTATTGATAATATAAATTAAAATTAATTTATTTTAACTATCAATTATTTATTTATATTTGATTTTACTTATTTATTTTAGTATTTTAATTATTGATTTTATATTTTTATTATAGCTACTTAGTTAGATAGTAAATAAAAGATTTTATTTCAACTTTAAATTAAGTTATAATAAAAAGCATTATTATTAATATTATAATAGAAGAAAGAATAGATACTTAAATTACCAAAAAGTAAAAAAATAGTAATAAATAAAAATATAGATATAAAATTATAAAATAACTAATTATTGAATTTTATATTATAAAATTTAATATATATATAAATAAATAAATAATTATATATTTTATTTTAAATAATTTAAATTTTTATAAAGTAAAAAAATAATTATATAAAAGTAAAATATTAGTATAAAAAGTTTTAATATTATAATTATATAAAATATTATTATAAAATATAAGTTTAAAGTTATAAGTTTAAATTTTATTTAATTTATATAAAATTTTTATTTAAATATATTTTAAAACTTATATTACTTTTTTATTATAATCAGCTTATAAATATAATAATTTTATATTATTTAACTTTTAAAATTTTCTATAATATATTTTAATTGAAATAGTAGAGTAATAAAATTAAACACTATAAATATTATTTCTAATCTTATAAATCAAACTCTCAATTAGCTAGTTGAAAAATAATAGTTTAATTATATATAATATTAAATAAAAAAATTAACTTGTTAAAAGCTTTTAATATTAAATAAAAATAAAAATAAAAAATATTTTATATATATATAAAAATTAATAACTTAAGAAAATTTTATTAAGAAAAAAATTAATATTTTAAATTTAAAAATTAGAAAGTAAAAGATTTTAATTTATAGCAAATATAATATTCTTAAATATTATTATATAATAGAAAAAAAAGTAAAAATATTTTATTAATAAAATAATTTTTTTAAAAAAAATATTAATAATATAATTAAAATTTATTTGATATATTCTACTGATTTTCAATAAATAATAAGAGAATATATTACATTGAATTGTATAACATGAATAATAAATAACATATCATGTAAAATAACTAGTTATATTCAGATACTAAGTATTTCAATACTAGGGTATTAGAAATTTCAAATGCTATGAATCAAATCTGATCATTCTCACCATAAACTATAACAAATAATCATGAAGATAAGAGAAAAGAAAAAAAAATCAAAGAAAAAAAATCAAACATTATTAATCATTCTGAATGTGCACCAAGTCTTAACCTCCCAGAGAAAGGCCATAAAAATATGAAAACCATTTGCACAAAGTAAAGTTCCCAATAAGAAAAAAACAGCCTCCAACTTATGCCACTAAAAAATAAAGAGATAGAAAGCGACATGGAAATGCGCGTGAAGAACTCAAGTCTGGAATCGAAACCCCTTCCCTCTAGTTCATCACCTTTCACATTTCCTCCCCAATATTCCGTAAATGCAAACCAAAGAGAGGTGCCTTGGATAGCGAAAACAGAACCATCAATGACCTGTGCTATAAAAGCAAATGAACAAAAGCCAACACCACAATTGCCCCAGACCAACCATCCATATGCAGTGCAACCATGCCAAAGTGGGACAAGACATAGACCGGCTAAGACCTGATCCACACAACATAGCAGCAAGCTAACACCCGGAACATGAGACTGAGAGTTTAAAAATGAAAACGCAATGCGAAGGCAAAACAGCCCGCAAGCCAAGTATGCATAGATGTCTGAAACATAAGAAACATTCAATCATAGAAGAGAGTGTAATATACGTCAAAAGAAGTCCACATCATGTAAAGCATTAGGGGGTAAACCATGCGACTTATTCAAAAATAGGAAAAGCGAGGGAGAAAGGTCGTGACAAGAATATCTAGAGATACTGCTGAAAGTACTCCCTATTGAACCAGCCAACCTTTTCATACGCCGTCCACAACTTGCTCGCCTTATTGACGTCGATTTTGCAAGCCTGCTGGGCGTCAGTTTTGCGGAATTCTTTACCAATGCGAAGGGCATTGAGACGCGCTTCAAAGATGCGTCGTTTGCTACAGAGATAGGTAGCGCACGATAGACGAAGGGTGGCGGCGAGACCCACTTCTGCGGGGTCAAGTTCGTGGCGATCTGGGTCATTTGTAAGATCCAGCATTTGTCCCTTCCAGTCTGCCTTCAAACCCTTTGTATTTCCTCGGAAGGTTTCAATGGAAGGGCAATAATCTGGCAGGGACCTGTAATCCGTATCATCACGATTGGTTCCAATGACTCGAGCAGGTTTCGGGGCTGGAGTGGCGACATCGAAAGAATCGTAGACTCGTTGTCTTGGGGTAGATTTGGGAGTACGCCGTGGTCGGGGTCGTGGGGCTCGCGCACCACTGCCGTTAGAAGTCCTCTTTGCAGGCGCTGGAGCGATCTTTTTTAATTTCATCACGGTCTCGTGGCCAACCCGTTTAGTCACTGACAGTTGTCGATCCAGGAATTCTGTAACCGAGGCCCACCTGATAATTGGAGAATTATTATTGCCTTTCCATCGACACGACGCAGGGCAAAGCAAAAATGTATTCTTTGCGACAGGCCTCATTCATCCATCCAGGAAAAAAAGC